GCCCCTGCCTGCCGGCCGCACCTCTCGTGCTGACGCAGCGCCGCCGAGAGCTTCCTGTCCGGGTAGCACTCGTGCGGCCCGCGCCCGAGCCACCGCACCCGCGCGCTCCGCCCGAACGCCGCCCCCGCGCGCAGCCCGACGCGGGGCAGCGACGCCCTCAGGCCCGGCGCGAGACGGGCGGGCAGCGCGCGGGACGCGTCGACGCGCCACTCCGTCTCGACGAGGCCGCTGGCGTGCACCCTGTACGTTGCAGACACCGCCACCTCCCCCTCCGGCCCCGCTTGCCCCTCGGCTTCCGAGGGCGCTGCCGCGGCGGGGGCGCTGATGTCAGCGCCCTCCAGCGCCGCCTCGATCCCCGCCATCGCCATCCAATGCGCGCCGCCAACCTCCCCCACGCCCGCGCCTGCCACCTCCGCCCCGCCGCCGCCGCCGCCGCCGCCGCCGACCCCTGCTTCCGCTGGGAGCGCGGCGGGCCGCATGACGAACGAGCTCTCAACTACCGCCACCTCCCCGCCGCCGCCGCCGCCGCCGCCGCTGCCGCCCGGCGCCGCCTCTAGGCGCACCGAGATGTCCGCGGGCCCAGCCGCCGCCATCCGGTCTAGCCCGGCCGCCACCCAGCGCGCGAGGTAGCTGGTGCCGCCTGCGCCGCCGCGGTCGTTGTCCGTGGGGGCGCGGTAAAAGCAGGGCTCCAGCGGGGCCGCCAGCAGGCGGCGGCCGCCGAGGGACAGGGCGGTGATGCAGCCGGTCGCACCGGAGACGCGAACACGCAGCCCGTCGGGACCATCGATGGCCATGCCCCCGCCGGCCGTCCGCTCCACGCGCAGCTGCCGCGCCTTGCCATCGCCCTCGGCGGCGGCCGCGGCCGCGGCGCGGAGCGCGGCGGCGACCGCGCCGGGCCGCGGGGGCGGCAGAGACGTCGCATCCAGCGGCTGCAGCTGAGTCAGCGCGACGACGTGGCCTTTTGGCGCCCAGGGGGTGTCTGATGTCAGCAGCGCCCGCACCTCGACCAGCCCGTCCTCAGGCACCACCGGAAGCTTCAGCGCAGCTGCCCCTCCATCCGCGGCCGCCTGCGCCGCGGCGAGCAGCTGCCCGGCGACCTCCCGCCGCGTCAGCGGCAGCTGCACGCGGCCCTCCGCGCCCGGCGCCACCGCCAGCGGCGGCAGCGCCGCCCAGCCGACCTCGCCGTCGCCGCCCACGCGCGGGCCGGACGCCCCGACCGGCCGGCCGAGCAGCAGGAGCCTCCATTCGAAAGCCAGAAAGTAAGTGAAGACAAAGGAGTGCTTATTTTTGACAAACACTTCAATCTCTCGCTCGACGTGCCCCGGGCGCCGCTCCTCCCACTGCGCCGGCCCCGAGTCGCCGCCGCCGCCGCCGCCGCCGCCGCCGCCGGGCGTGAGGGAGAAGCCGACCGGCGCCATGCAGGCCGCGGCCTCGCTGTACGCGGGGTGGGGGGTGCGGTCCGGGAAGACGAGGCCGTTGCAGCAGAACTGGGCGTCGTTTGGGGTGTCGCCAAAGTCGCCGCCGACGGCCCAGAAGGTGACCTGGGTTGGGCAGGCGCATGGGAGGGTGCTGGTGAGAAGGGAAAGTGCAATTGGGATGAAGGTGCAAAATTAAATAGAGAAGGTGATCAGCTTGAGGGAGTGTGGTGCGCACAGAAAAATGTGTTGCGGCCGCCACACCTGGCACACTGGCCCCGCACGGCGCAACCAGCGCCCTCCTCTCCGGCCCACGCACACGCTGCGCACACTCCAGTAAGGAAGCGCGCCGGCCCCAGCGCAGGGGGCCCCAGCCGCGCACCTCCTCTCCGTCTGGCCCGACCTCTGTCTTTCGCAGCGCCTGGTCCGCCCAGTCCCAGATGAAGCCACCCTGGGGGGGGCGAGGAGAGTGGCGTTGCGGGCGTGATTGTGGGGTGTGCGCGCTTCGAGCAGGTGTGTTGAGACGAGGTCGGGCGAGCGTGGGAATCATCCTTTGATGTTTAGTGTGTGTGTGGTGTGTATGTGTGTGGTTTGTGTGTGTGTGTGTGTGTGTGTGTGTGTGTGAGAGAGTGCAAACACGCGCACACGCGTGCGTGCGAGCATACGCGTGCGAGTGTGTGTGCGTGTGTGTGTGTGTGTGTGCACGCGCGTGTGAATGTGAAAATGTGTGTGTGTGTGTGTGTGTGTGTACATGGCCGAGCACAAGGAGCAGCCAGCCAAAACAGGCGCAACCACCACCCCCTCACAGCCGCGACCCCCCAGGGCCCTGCTGCACGCTGCACCCAAACAAACCCACCTGCAGCCGCGGCCAGGACTCGAACGCCTGCCAGTACTCCCGCAGGTTCCCGGTGCTGTTGCCCATGCTGTGCGCGTACTCGCACAGGATGATCGGCCGCGGGTCGCGCGCCGCGTCCGCGGCGGCGGCGAGGGCCCGGAGCTGCGGCAGTCGCGGGTACATAGGGCAGATCACGTCCGTCGCGGTGTGGCGCGAGCCGCCGCCCTGCGAGGGTCGGTGTTTCGAGGGGGGAGATCTGAGTGGGTCTAGGGAAATGCAGGGGCCCTGCCTCGGCGTTCCCACAATTGGGCAAAGGTCAAAGAGCGCAGCGCGACGGCGGCACGGCTTGCACAAGGCAGCAGTGCCAACAGGTCCGCCCCCAAAGCGGACCATTATGGAGGCCCCAGTGACTCCGTCCTGCTCCTGGGAAGCTGCAATGCAGCTAGAGCTTGCAGTGCAGTCACCTCGTAATGCACGAGCCGCGTGGGGTCGCGGCGCCGCAGCCATGCTGCCATCGCGTCGTGCGCGGGGCCGTAGCCGGCCTCGTTGCCCAGGGACCACATCAGCACGCAGGGGTGGTTCTTGTCCCGGTCGTACATCCTACGTGCAGGTTTTGGGCATTATTTGTCTGCAAATCAGAATGTTTTGGGGGGGCCGGGAGCGCCCTAACAAGGGCCGGTCCAGGTCAGTGATGCTGCTGCAATGGTTGATGATGATCACGCAGTCGGAGCCAGCGTCAGAGAAAGCAAAGCCGGCGCAAGGCGGTCAAATCCCTTACACAGGGCGGCAGGGGACAACGGCGCGCTCGGCAGCGGCGACGGGCCCAGCTCGCTCCCCCTTTGCTCCCCCGCCGAAACACGTCGCACCGCGCGCCGCGCTCGAGTATGGCGGGCAGCCACGTCGGGTTGTGCGCTGGGTGGTTTGTGTCGTGCAGGAACAGGGGGTCGAAGCCGTGGGTCTCCAGGTTGGCCTCGTCCACCACATAGAGCCCCAGCATGGTGCACAGCTCGTACCTTGGTTGGTTGAGGGATCATGGTTGTTTTGTGGGGAGGGGGGGGCAATGGGCGTTTTGGGGCCGCGAGCTGCCTGCAGTTGCTTGGAGCTTGTGTGGGGTTTGTCTGAGGAGTGTCAGGGGGCTTCGGTCCGCGGAGGGCTTGCTGGGGGGCCACGTTATGTGGTGGTGTGGAGGAGGTGTCGACGTAGCGTGTGTGAAGAGGGTTGAGGGGGCGAGTCAAGGCGGTGTGCCAGGGCTGAGACAAGATGATTCGCATGCATATTCGCACGTTTTGCGCCACGTCCACATACATATGTGCGCTCTTCGGTGCCGCAAAAGCAATTGCATGTCCATCCCACGTCCTGCGGGTTCAACCACCGCTGCAGTGTTCAGGGTCGACGAGCCGCCCGCCGCCGCCGCCGCCGCAGCCGCCCCCACCCTCACCATCTCGTTGCGTTGGGGTAGTGGGAGCACCGCACCGCGTTGATGTTGGCGCGCTTCATTAGGGTGATGTCACGGATCATGTGAGCCTCATCTAGGGCCTTCACGACCGGGGGGGGGAGTGGTTGTGAGGGGGTAGGCGGGGTAAGCAAACCGGCGAAACGATCAAGCAAACCATTCCCAATTGCCAACACAAACAACTAACCCCAGTGCCGCCGAGCGCGGTGTGCCTGCACCAGGCCCGCACCCGGCCCTGCGCCTTGCCTTGCCTGTACCCCCGCCTCGCCCTTCCACACACGTGGCCCCGCCCCTTACCTTTCCCCTGATGCAGTGCCACTCGTGGCGGTTCACGCCGCGCACGAGGATGCGCGCGCCGTTGTGCAGCAGGCTGCCGCCCGTGACCCACGCCGCGCGGAAGCCGACCTGCAGCAGCAGGCATTTGGGTGCCCCAAACTGACGCGTTGAGCCTCGCCTATAGCGCGTGAAGTCGCATCGCATCTCTCGCGACCGAAGTCGGCGCACAGCCGCGTTCGCAGGCGATGCATCCGAGGCTGCATTGCATTCGTCCCAGGTCGGCCACCACAAACCATCAGCCCACCCACAACCGCAGCCGAAAAAGCTGAGGCGGGCGTCCGCCCCACCTGGCAGGCCTCGAATTCAAGCGCCTCCCCAGCAGATCCCCTCAGCTCAACAACCAAAATGTAGTGATCCGGGGCCTCCGCGTTCCACAGCCGCAGGCCCTCGCGCGCGCCGCTCGCCGCCGCGCCGCCGGCCCCTGCGCCGCCGGTCCCCGCGCCCCCGGCTCCGGCGCTGGCCACGGCGCCGGCCGCGGCGACGGCGGCGGGATGAGAGGGGGCGCCGAGGGCGGAGAGGGCGTCCCATTTGAGGGTGGCGGCTGCGCCCATCAGCTGGTCGTCGCCGACGGAATGGGCGTCCCGCGCGTACCACCTCTGCTTGCGGGTGTGCATGTTTGATGGTGGGTGGGCGGGAGGGGAGGTAGATGGACATGTTTATGACCCAGACTGGCGTTCACAGGCTGCTCACAGCAAGGAAGCAATGCTGAGTGGCAGGGGTGCGCCTCGCAGTGCCCATGGCCCGAGCACAGCGAGCATGTTGCATTAGAGCACAGAAGCAGCCCACGAGGTGGCTTCTACTTGACCACACACTGACGGACACACAATCACACACACACACAAACACACGCACACACACACACATATGCGCACAACCTCGCAGACTCACTCTTGCGCCAACCGCTCGCACACGCATGCTCCGGCCGACGCCACAGGACTTTGGCCCACCTCAGTCACGTCACACTCCAGAGGCTCTTCCAGCACTGGCAGCCCCCCCTCGTCAAACACATGTGCCAGCACCCTGAGCCCCGCCAGCCCCGCCGCCCCGCCGCCGCCCCCTTCCCCCAAACCGCCGCCATCGCCGCCGCCGCCCGCCGCCGCCCGCGCCACCTCCAGCCGCACCTCGACCTCCAGCCCTGCTGACGTCAGCGTGATGTCACCGCCGCCGCCGCCGCCGCCTGGCTCAGAATGGGCGCTGCTTTCAAACGCGAGGGGCGTCCTGACTGCCAGGTCAGCGATCAGGGCCGCGGCCGGCTTTGACGTTAGAGTGACGTCACGGTGCAGGCCCGAGAGGCGCCACATGTCCTGATCCTCCAGGTATGAGGCGTCGCTCCAGCGCAGCACCTTTTGAAGTTGTTGTTTTGGCAGTATCGTGTCAGAAGCCGAGCAATTCAACCGTGTTTGCTTTGGAGGGGTGCTTCGCATTGAAGCCAGAGTCCCAAGGCGTTTGCATTGAGAGAGCCGGCTGGCTGATGCTTTTGGGGGACAAGAACGAAGCGGTGTGTTGCTGATAAGTGATGCCTTCGCCCCCACAACCCCCCTCCTCACTCCGTCCCCAGCCCCTGCGCACTGCTCTCTTCGCCGCTCCTGCGCCGCAACCCATGCTAGCTCCCTCTCTTCACCACCCCGGCACCCCGGCCCCACCCCATCGCGCAAGGGAGGTCTAGGCTCGAATCAGTAAAACTTTTGACCCACGCCTGCAAGCCCGGCCCACCTGCACGGCCAGCAGGGTGTCTCCGCCATCCTCTGCCAGCCGCCCCGTAACCTCAAACTCCGCCGGCAGCCGGCTGTCTTTGCTGGCCCCCAGGAAGCCGCCGTTCAGCCAGGCCAGCAGGCAGC